TGCAGAGATTTCAGTGCAGTGATTTCAGAGGATTCAATGATGAACACACGTCCCAGCCCTGCTGCAGCTCCTGCACACCTTGCTGCAATACTGATGAGGAAATTCTCATCTCAGAAAACTTCCCTTCTTCAGGTGTGAGTGGCAAACCTGAGCTGCCAGGACCTGGCTGCTCTCAGGGACTCGTTCGGGGTGCTCAGGTGAGTGGCACACCTCACCTGCCAGGACCTGGCTGCTCTGGGCAGCCCTGCAGCCCTGGCCCTGGCTCCCAGCCCTGAGCACTCCTTGCCCAGGTTGGTGCTGGGGCTCTGCAGCCCAGCTGAGGGATTTGGGGCTGGGGCAGAGGGAGCAGCCCTGAGCCAGACTGAAGTGACAGGTGGGCTGTGTGCAGCTAATTATATCCCAAAGGCTTTTCCATATCCCACAGATATAAAAATTTAATCAGGCTCTAAGTGTTTTTGTGTTTTCCAAAAGCTGTCTGAGTAATGACAGGTGTATACCTAAAACACCCAGAGCTGGCAAATGTAGCAGTACCGAGGAGATTCTGTGCTGGATTTGCTTTGCTCCAAATGAATTCGTTCAGGACTGATCCTTCAGTGTATTTAGGTGCAGAGAGACAGAACCTCACCAAATGGTGCTGCTGGACTGCAGGACAGTGGCAATATCTGAGCTTTGACAAGTGAATGTGAGAATTAACAGGCTGCTGATTGCCAAGGCCAGAGCTTGGGAAGGGGCACTCAGGAGAAATTCAGATGGGCATTCTGTTTTCTGACACCTTTCGGCACAAGAAAAAAGCTTCTGGTGAGGTTGATGAAGTCCTGGTGGGGCTGAACCACAGGGTCTGCAAAGCAAGCCCAGCCCCTGCCCCAAATTATTGCTTCATGTCACCAGTTTTATGGACAATATTAAAGCTCTATTGATGCTGGGGACTTTTTTTTTTTTTTTTTTTAGCTTAAGTCATGCATGGGGNTTTTTTTTTTTTTTTTTTTTAGCTTAAGTCATGCATGGGGAAGTATTCCTTCTCCAAAAACAACATCCATTTGATTGTGCTCTATATCTTAGTGTACTAGAACTAATCTACTAAAATATTGATGTAGCAAAGTAAAATGGGAATAAAAAAAATGATAAAGTATGTGCAGCGTGTCAGAATAAATGTACCTAGTGGAACATTAACTTTTGTATTTCCAGGACTTTTTTAACCTTGCTGCCTTAAT